GGGGGGGGGGGGACTCGGTTACAGCTTCGCGTCCTCGAGGCCTCAAGGTGACCTCCCGAAATGCCTTATTAACGAGAAATTGTTTCCCCCGATTTCACCGTATACAGATAGTCTCCGCGTTTCTTAGAGAGAAGCGACAAGAAATGATTTTGACATTCCATTCTTCGGGCTTCCCGTAATGACGTCGTGCTGACGACACAAGCCTCCATGATTACCGAAATGTTTCGTCTTTTTGCTTTTCCCGGACCATTCAACACATTGCGTTTTCTCATTCTTTAGAGCCATAATGTTGCCGTTGATTTAGCTCCTATGGACGCATTGAATGCGCCTGTCGTTACGTTTTTTGAGGGCGATAATAGCACCGTCGGTTACGTTGCCCCTTCTTCTATAAATGGGGGCCTCCTGGGAGCAGTCTTTTATTCAAGTATCTTTCGATACCTATCCTTTCCTCCTTTCTTGTTATCTTTACTCTTTGTTGTTCACCATTTTTGAGGCCCATGGCCTTAAGATTTTATGGCGATATCACGCATGCTACAGCCTACCTCTCGGACCTTCTCTGGTCTAGCGAGATTACGCTGTTTTTATATTGTTGTTGTTGTGTCTTTGTTGGCTCAGGTTGATGAAGCAGAGGGCCAATTTCCTCTGACCCGAGGAAATATTTGGATTACACATTACTGCTCGAGAGGGGGCTCGGATTATACACTGTTGCTCACCCTCCTGCCCCGGCTTGGCGTATTATACCCCTTTGGATTCCTTGGGGTATGGAGGCGCTGTCTACTAACTTTTGCCTCCCATGCCGGGGCAATGTCTCAAGAAATTGATTTACAGTAATAGCCTGGCGAAATCCATACTAGCCAGATTTTTCACCCAGCCACTTCTTCATTCCTTCCTGCCTTTTTCGCGTCACTTTGCTCTTCTCCATCGCTTTCCCCTTCGTCGTCTCTCCTTTAGAAGATGCCATTCTGGGGAATCGAGATCAGACTCCCGAGGGGATTGTGCTTGGAAGATATTGTCTTTGAGGATGCGTGCTTGAGGAGATGATATTGAAATTGTCGTTGTTGAGGATGCACCCTTGACAACAGGCTAGGTTCTTAGGCTTTTATTGTGTGTACACCCTTCTGCTTATTTTTTCCCGTGTAAGGACCCCTCATGGGCTTTTGTAATCATATGTAAGGATCCCTCGTGGGATTTTGTAATAGAATATTTCATGAATACAAAGATTTTTCCCCGATTTGTCTTTGATGCTTGCTACATTCTTTTATGTTTGTGGAGACTTCGAATGCATGACTCTGTTTGTTGTCGCTAATACCGAAACCAGATGCAAGTATTCCTTCTGGCCTTTGGTTGATAAAAATGGATTCGCGAGGGATCCTTTACGATCCCTTAGATCGAACCTAAATAGGGTCGATAGACTCGGGTCGCCGGGACCTTGACTTCGAGTACAATGAGAATAATGTTTCGGGCCTTGGAATCATGACTTACTAGTTAAGTTCTGTGGTAACCTTTGAAAAGAAAATTGCTCAGGGGCCCGTGGACGGGGGCTGTCTTTGATCTCTTGAGGGCAGTCCTCGAACGGAGATTCGTCAAAATTAAGACCACCTAGAAACGCACTCTGGCTTAGTGTGAATAGTCTTATGGCATTGTAGATAGATTTTGAAAGAGGGTTTGTCCGATCTTGGACGGTACCCAAGGCCAATCCCATATGGGTATCGTTCAAATGCTTATTTCCTTGGAGTCTGATTTCCTTTCGACAAGAAACCCCCGAGGTCGAGTATCACCTAGGGTCTCGTCATGATGCTATTGGCTTCCTGGAGCCTAAACTTCCCTTTGATGGAGATCCTCGAGGTCAGGTACCGCCTCAATGTTGGCGAAGGCGTCATCGGCTTCCTGGAGCCTAGCCCTATTCTGATGGAGGTCCTCGAGGTCAGATACCACCTCGGGACTAGAGAGGGTGTTATCGGCTAGTGTTCATAACAAGCTTTGAGGTAGGCGAATCGTCGCCGTTTTTCCACATATAAATAGGGTCATTTCTGCCTTTTCGGGGATTACCCCATTTTAAGTAATTGTCCTTCTCTTTCTACGCTAGCCTTTCGGCATTCCAACACTAACACGTCTGCACATATTCTTGCTTTTTAGTTCTATAATTTTGTGCCCGCCATGACGGCTATGTTGGAGTCTGTCCGACAGGGAGCGGAGAGCTCTGCCTTCGGTCTTTAGGACCATCGAGGTCTACTAACTTTGTTGTGTCGATCGATTACATCTTTCATTGTTGATGATGGGGAAAATGAAGACAGGGTATGGATGAGTTGCTTCATCCGGGTGCGGACTGCTGACATTATCCCCAAAGAGCTCATGCCATTCACTGGGGAATGGAGCTATGCTCGTAAGTGGTACATTTTGTGCTTTATTAGTTCTATCTATGGTGAAAGACGGTTTCGTAATCGTGCCTTCCTCTCTTCCTCTGCAGCGGTTTCATGGGCGTCGGGCGACATTCTTAATCTGTCGGACTGGGTCCAAGAATTGGCGACCCACTCGACCTGTGAGGAATGCATTTGGCGAGCTTTGTCTCGGGGTAGATGGGAAGCAAAATACGATGGTGAGTGTTGTGCTATTCCTTACTTGCTATCACCTTCCTTTTTCATTGATAGTATTTCGGGAGATACTAGAAACCCGGGGTCGCATACACCGAGTGACCGTGCTTTGACCGGAGTAGTCTCTTTCAAGGCTGAAGGGACTGGATTGGCAGGTGTGCGTTCGACCTTCGAGGAAGCCCAGCAGCTTCACTTTGCGGTGAGTTTCGGCACAAGTTTTTCGAGCTTTGTGCCTTCTTTTCCTTACTGAGTTTTTTTTGCAGGCACCCGACAAGCTCGAGTCTGGGCTGCTTCGCTGTGAAGCCAGGCTATGGAAAGCTCTAGATGAGGAGAGATCCCTGAGGCTCCTTTGTGATGATAAAGAGGTCGAGTTGGTGCATTTTGTAGTGTGAGGTGAGCCAGAACTTAAACTATGAAAACCACCTGAAGGAGTAGGTAGTTTTCTATTCCGGATGAGTGTGCATTCCGCCTTCTGGCTCTTGGGGCTGATACTTAGTTTATTTCAGTTGTAGAAAAAAGATGGAGGCCCTGAAATGCCTTCGAGATAAAGTTGGCTGGGCCAGGTATGAGTGTGATGAGTTGAAAGCTCGGGCGGAGGCTCAAGCTTTAGGGGGGAAGGATGCTCTGGCCAAAGTTCTTGATTTTGAAGCTCAACTTCACCTAGCTCGCGACAATGCTTTGGTTTAGACAAAAATGATTGTAGAACTCGAGTCTGGGCTTTCAAAAGTCAGGGCTGAGGTCATTGATGCTTGGATCGAAGCAGCACTGAGCTAGACTAAGGCTGATCAGGGGACGATGATTTATTTGATGGATGCTACCGATGCCCAAGTAGAGTTGAAGAGGGTCCTCGATAGTGAAGAGAGGATCAAAGAATATGCTCTTTGCAGATCCCGAAGAAGGGTTCTCGAGGAGATTGGTGCAAGTGGTTTTGTTCTCCCGGAAGATTTGGCACGAGCGAGGGCGGACGAGCGTGGTGCTCGGTCACTTCTGTCCGACGCCGAGGAGAGTGAAATTGAGGCTAATAGTTTGTAGCCCTTAGGGGAGGGGCGTAGACTTTGCAATTTTGTATGCGATATCTTCAGAGCGTGTTTGTAGATAGAGAGTGCACTTTTTCACGTATGTAAATAAAAGAAAACTTGAGGCTTTATTTCTTCTATACCCCTTTCTTCATCGCTTTTGACCAGGTGGACTGGTTTCAGAGTTGGCGAGAATCCTTGGATTCGTGATACGGCTATGGGGCTAATTAGGCAGGCTCGGGGGCTCTTATGCGCTCGATCGGTGCGACCTTTAGTGTAAGCTGGCGTTAGAGCTCTTATGCTTTTGCTCAACTATTTTGGGTTTAGTCTCTGAGTCGGGGTTCGACTCGAGCTCATTTGACCCTCAAGCTTTTGTATTTGCATGGGTAGGAGACAATGACTCTTACGCCTCGGGTCGAAGCGACTTTTTGTATGCACGGACCTGAGACTCATTAAGCTGGTAACAATGGCTCTTACGTTTTGCCCTTAGGCAACCTTTTAGTGTGTGTGGCCCTGAGGCTCGTTAGGTTGGCGACAATGGCTCTTACGCTTTGCCCTTAGGCATATGTAGGCTTTATCTTCCTCTCGTTAAGGACTTTTGAAATTATTTTGCCTGACCCGTCGTCGGTTCAGGAAGAACCTAGATTTCAAGTCGTTTGCGGCGATGTTCGAGCACCTTAAAAGGTTTGGCTCGCAGGCTGAGTATCTCGAAGCCTTGTGATTTGGAGCTGACATGGTCAAAGCTCTTTTGCCTATCGAGATTAGCTTGTTTAATCAGTTCTTTTCGAAGTAGATTCGAAGTAATGGCCTATGATTTTGTAGCGATGGTCGAGCATCCTCGAGTCGTGTTAGTTTGGCTGGTACAGTTGTATGACCGTAGTCATTTGTGCTTGGACAAAGCCATTTTTGGTCCCGATTGTAGTAGTTTAGGCGTCTATATCAAGGGTATGCCCTTTCGGGAGTCTTACAAATGTGATATATAGCCCACACTTCGGGATTGATTTTATGCCTGTAATAAGGTCTTACAAGATTTTCATGCCTTTTGAGGTCTTATAGTTTTGTTGATACAAGGTACAAGTATGATTCATGCCTTGCTTGAGGTCTTAAAACTTTTTCATGTTGTTGAGGTCTTACAGGTTTTTCATGTCATTGAGGTCATACAGTTTTTTCATGCTGTTGAGGTCTTACATGTTTTTCATGCCATTGAAGTCTTACAGATTTTTCATGCCGTCGAGGTCTTATAGGTTTTTCATGCCGTCGAGGTCTTATAGTTTTTGCATGCCGTTGAGGTCTTACACTTTTTTCTTGCCATTGAGGTCTTACAGTTTTTTCATGTTGTCGAGGTGTTACAATTTTTTCATGCCGTCGAGGTTTTACAGTTTTTTCATGCCGTCGAGGTCTTATAGTTTTTTCATGCCGTTGAGGTCTTACAAGACCGAGTCTGCCCGCTCGGAGTGTTATGGCCTCGTGTTTTGATGAGTTAATGGAGGTGGCATTTTGACGGCAGTCCCCGAGTCGTCGAGAGTTTCTTCACTCGGGAGCCATTTTTTGTAAACTTTGCATTGCCTCATTGAGGGCTTACAATTTTGTAAATCCTGACCCTGACGTCGTGTACTTTTATTTTGAGATTTCAATGCCAGTCCCCGAGTACTCGAGGTACTTTTGGCATTGGAGATGTTTAGCAATTTCCGCGTTGCCTTATCTGAGGGCTTACGATTTTGGAGTCCCGACCACGAGGTCATTTAAGTGTTGAATTGTTGACGCCAGTCCCCGAGTGTTCGGGACATTTCCGGTGAAGGATCTGTTTTTGCGAAGGTGTTGAGTCTTTTTTGGAGCACGAGATGCCTTAACAAAAGATATTCTTCGATTATTTGATACAAGTGTACATAGATTCGCCGTCGGGGCCCCAGCTATATGGACATGGTTCGTTCGACCGTTTGGCCCAATACATTACTTTCTTATATGGACCCCATTTGGCGTTTCTTGGTTTTTCCGAGTGGGGGGGGGGACGCCCACATTGTTTGGGGTTGATTGCAAAAAAAGCCTCGAACAATTGTTGAGTTTCCCTTAGGTAGCATGCAGATGTTGCCTCGTTAAAAACCTTACCGGTAAAACCGTTTTTTGGGATAAAAACTTGATCAAAGGAAAAGAGCGCAATGGATGCTTTAAAACCTTAAAGGTCTTCGAGTTGGGTTAGTGTTCAGACTGCTTTGATCGGGCACCTACATAAAGGTTAGTCTGAAATACGAAATGAAAAGGGTGATGGTCGTACCTTAATGTGAGACATGCCGACGATGTTTTGAGGATCGATATGTTGCAAACACTCGAGATGAGAATGCAGTATGGTCCTTTAATTCATTTAATCGGGATTGATCGAGGGCGTGGCTCAATTACCTTTTTTCTCTTTTGCGGGCAGAGGTGCGAGCGCTGGTGCCACGTCGTGCACCACAAACATTTCCCTTGCCAGATGCTGTTCACCGTGTTTTAATTCCATCCTTTGTTAGGAATTTCATCATTTGGTGAAGCATGGATGGTACCGCTCTCATGAAGTGTATCCACGACCATCCGAATAAGGCGTTATACCTCATGTCTCCTTCGATGACATGGAATTTGGCGTTTTGGGTCGTGCCGGCCATGGGGACCGGGAGGATGATTTCTCCTTTCGTTGTTTCACTTGCCATGTTGGAGGACTCGAGTGGCAGGCACAATTTGGTCGAGCAGTCTGAGCTGCTCAATTACCCTCGACTTGATAATGTTGGCCAAGCTACCTCGATCTACGAGTACACGTTTTATTTGAAAGGAAATTACAAGGAAAGAGATTACCAGTGCATCATTGTAAGGTTGAGACAAAGTATTGGTGTCCTCTTTACTGAATGTGAGGGCGTCCTCGGGAATATATCCAAGGTTTTGGTTTTCTTTGGTGATGGATATTTTTGTCCTTATCATTACGGGTTCCTGCGGGACATCAACGCCTCCCATGATCATGTGGATGACGTGTTGTAGCTCATTTGCCTCGTTCTTCTTGGTCGCCTCTCTTTCCCGGAACTGATTCTTGGCTCAATCGCTAAGGAATTCTTGGAGATGCCCTTTGTTAAGTAGTCGGGCTACCTTTTCTCGGAGTTGGTGGCAATCCTCAGTCCTGTGGCCGTGCGTGTTGTGAAACTCGCACACTAAGTTGTGATTTCTTTGTGAAAGATCTGATTGTATAGGCTTGGGCCACTTGGCGTCTCTGATTTTACTGATGGCGAACACGATGTCCGATGCATCGACGTTGAAGTTGTATTCCGACAAGTTAGGTACACCCGTTGGCCCTGCGTTCCTATCGAATCTGGCTCTGTTGGTGAGTCCTCAAGGATCCTGTCCTCGATCTATTCTCCGATCGTTGCGAGGTGGGTTGCGCCTCGAGGCGTTCCTCCTATATTCGATGTACGACTGGTATCTTTCTTTATTTGATTTTGGTTCCTTTGTCGGGAGCCTGCTTAGGTATACTGAGCCCGAGGGGGCTCCCATTATCCTCGGACCTGATTTTTGGCTGGTATCGGTTGTGGACATCTGACTCGGTCACAGCTGGATACTCAATCAAATTCTGTTTCAGCTATTTTGAAGCCACTGAGCTTCGTTCATTTAAACCTTGAGTGAAAGCCTGCACTGCCCATCTGTCGGAGACTGGCGGTAGCTCTATCCATTCCATTTGAAAGCGAGACACGAATTCCCGCAGTATCTCGTTCTCCCTTTGCTTAATTTTGAAAACATCGGACTTCCTCATCGCTACTTTTGTGGCACCGACATGTGCCTTTACAAAGGAGTCTGCTAACATGGAGAATGAATCTATGGAGCTTAGAGCCCAAGTTGTGATACCACATCATGGCCCCCTTCGAGAGTGTTTACCCGAACTTTTTCAACAATATGAACTCGATCTCGTCGTTCTTTATATCATTGCCCTTTACCACGCAAGTGTAGGCAGTAACGTGTTCATTGGGGTCTGAGGTCCCGTTGTACTTTGGGAGTTCAGACATTCTGAACTTCTTTGGAATGGGTTTTGGGGCCGCTTCTTCGGGGAACGACCTTTGTATGAACTTCTTCGAATCCACTCCTTTCAGGACTGGGGGTGCGCTCGGGATCTGGTTGACCCTAGAGTTGTAGGTCTTAACCTTCTTATCATTGGCTGCTATCATTTTCTCATCCGATTCGACCCTTTTGGTGAGGTCTTTGAGCATTTTTACGATGGCAAGGTCGGCTATCGATCTGTTATTGCTCAATCTCTCAGGTACCTATTCCGCTGGGGGAGGTGTCCTCGGGGATACAATGCTGGGAGTCTTCGGGTGTCTTTGCAGCTGAGCGATAGCCAACTGTTGTGCCTGCAAAATTTTAAAAATAACATGAAGGCTAACTTCCCGTTCTTCCCGAGCTGAGGTTTTTTGGGCTTCCTGTTGGTCGCCATTTGTATGCTCCTTTCGGTGTGTGAGGTTTCGTCACCTGCTATGCGCCTTGCAAACCCGCGTCCGCTGGAATCGGTCTAGGTGCGTTATCAGGGTTCTGTGGTGGTGCGACAATAATTGGAACATCCACACCATTTTCTCCGTGGTTTTCAAGGTTGTCGTTCTCAAATCTGTTCATTGAGCCCGACATTTTGATCTGAAATCGAAGATCTTGGACAAGAAAAAGTGTGAAATATAACTTGCGTTGTGTAACGAAACCAGCAAGAAAATAATCACTATTATTTTTAGCCCCACGGTGGGCACCAAACTGTTTACCGTGAAAATGGTAATAATAATTAAATTTGTTGATGGGACTCAAAAAATACGTGATCTATTTTTATGCTAGTTGTTAAGCAGTTGATGCTAGATATTTGAAGATAAAAGAGGAAATGTGAGCTAAAATGGAATTATAATCAAATCGGGGGGTTTGCTATTCGGGCCTCAGACTGACCGATGAGGGGCCTCGAGGTCGATGCCTGGGCTCGGGCTCGAGTTATCGGGGATAATCGGGAAGGGGATAACAGTTAGGATATGATTAAGGGAGGCTCTTTATGGCCAATAACAAATGATAAATGAAGAACAAGTATGAAGGCAATAAGTATGAGCAAAAGTGCCAGGAGAATACGTTAGAGAGAAAAGAGAGAGAGAGAGAGAAAGAGTTATTATTTATTTTGAGTAGAATAGTTAGAGCAGCAACAATACCCTCCTACAAAATGGTAAGGATCCCCTTTATATAGGAGGAGAATCCCAACATAGTACAAAATGCATTAATTGTAAAGGTATGGAGATGGGACGGCTAGACGTGACACCTTGATACAGGTTTCGGCCAGGTCGGCTTTGTCAAACTTAGCCGAGTGCCTTGGGAATTCCCTATTTTTACTCTAGCCTCAAGCGATATTCCCTTTAGGTCGGTCCTCGACGAGCTTCGG